CTACTTCCATGTCCATCAACTTCGTCCACGACCATCAGTGTATCTACTTCCATGTCTATCAACTCCGTCCACGACCACCAGTGTATCTACTTATGTGTCCATCACCTCCATATCCATAACCATTACAAGTTCTCGGATCCATCACCAATGTATCTACTTCTACTCCAGTTTGTTCTTTGATATGAATTTAACGCTTTTTATTGCCCCATAGTTGGATTTGAAGTTATGAGATTAATCAAATCGATTTGGGTAATAAAGTATAGTTCTTTATTTGTGGGAACTTTTTTTGTGCAGTTCTGAATCTATGAACGCAGTTGAATCGTTGAAAGTGATGAACTTTGTGAGAAACCAGCAGATAAAAAAAGGTGGAGAAAACAAACAATGGAAGATCTAGTTTTTCCATAATGGAACTAGAAAAAGAAGTTTTAGGCTTGGATTAAAAAATCTTGGAAAGATAAATTTATCACAAAATGGGTATACAAGATTAATTATTCTTCTAGGTATATAGAATTTTTATATCTCTCGTAAGAAGAAAAAATATAATAAAGAAAACAATATAACAAAGGAAAAAGAAATGAATTCTGATTTAGGTGAAGGACATAAATGATATTACACACTAAATATTTTAATACAATATATGTTGTAACAACATCACAGTTGAATATATATTTAAAATGTATTATTTTCAAGTCAATAACATAAAAATATTATATAAATACATATATACTACTAAATATTTTATAAAAATTAGACATAATAATTTCTACGCACGCAGCAATCATGATCTAGTTTATTAATTAGAGTAATATATTTTCACCAAATATATTAATAATATATTTTAAATATTATATAAATATATTTTAAAGAACATATATAAAAAAACACCATCTACAACCTTTAAAATTTCTGCACACAAAAAATACCATATACAATATATGTTGTAACAACATCACAGTTCAATATATACTTAAAATGTATTATTTTCAAGTCAATAACATAAAAAGATTATATAAATATATAATATAGTACTAAATATTTTATAAAAATTAGACATAATATAAACATTTTGAAAGCAATATAAACACTATAAAAAATATCTTAGAAAAGCTTTGTCGTGGGC